TGATTTCCCATTTTCAATGGGTTCAAGGTATAAAAACAACGAAACTTCAAGGCTTTAGATCTTTTACTTTTCGAGATCAACACGTTTAGACATACGGACAGCCAGACAGCAAGACGGACATGGCTGTATTGACTCAGCTCGTCCTCCAAGTCAAGACTATATATACTCTATTTTTTTCCCCACACCTTTTAGCTGCTATATACATTTAAACAAAATCAATAAATAAACTCTGATTTCTCATTAAAAATGACAAATTTCGATTATATTTTCGATTATATTTAGAATTTAGCTTCATATAAGAGATTCTTTCTTTTCAGAACTCCTCAGATGCGCACATTTGCGAATTGATAGCGAATACAACGCGACTCTCCAACTTGATCGGTCGAATTAACCTACTAATGGGCATTTGCACATGCATTGGTTTTGTAACATATCCCATTTTTGGGACCGACCGTGGTTAGATATTCAGCAGTAAATTGACTGTGTGTGTGGGTAATTGTATATTTGTATTTGCCATTACAGTGCTGCCCTATGGCATGTATATTCCCGGTATCGACAAATATGCCAGCCCTGCCTATGAGGTATTCTTTGTGGTGCAGGTAATAATGGCGCCGATGGGCTGCTGCATGTACATACCGTATACGAATCTGATTGTTACCTTCACACTGTTTGCCATTCTCATGTGCCAAGTACTGCAGCACAAGTTGCGCACCTTGCGGCAATTACCAGGAATTCGAGTGCGTGACGAAATTATATGGTGCATACGATATCAGATCAAGCTGGCTGGGTAAGCTATTGTCATTCATCAATCACTCTAGCCACTCACTCACTCATTCACTCAATTATAGCCTGGTCGATGCCATGAATGAATTGACCACCCATTTGCATCTGGTGGAGTTTCTATGCTTTGGCGCAATGCTTTGTGTATTGCTCTTCTCGTTAATCATCGTAAGTTGTAATTATAATTTTATATTCAATTCAATTTAATTACAATAAAAACTATTCACAATAGGCACCAACAATAATTCAGTTTATAATCGTGATATTCTACATGATCATGATATTTTCCAACACTGTTGTGCTCTACTACGTGGCCAATGAGCTTTACTTTCAGGTAAATGCCCATTGTCAATTTTGAATTGTTTGAATATTATCAATTGAATACTATTCGAATAATTTACAGAGTTTCTATGTATCCATTGCCGCCTATGAGATCAACTGGATGGATCTGGATATAGAGACACAGAAGGTAGTCAAGTTTCTCATTATGCGTTCACAAAAGCCACTCGCTGTAAGCATAGATCTTTCTTAATTCATATTTATACTTGTATATACTTGTATATTATATAATATTTATTTGATACATCCCCAGGTACTTGTTGGCGGCGTTTATCCAATGAATCTAAAGATGCTGCAGTCGCTGCTGAACGTCATCTATTCGTTTTTCACGCTGCTGCGACGCGTCTATGGCTGAGCTGCCTTTAAGTTCTTTGTACACCGGACAATGGCCATAGATTGATTGCATTTTCACTGCATCTACTTCTCCTTTTCCTTTTTTTTGGCCAATAAACGTTTGCCTCAATTCGATTGCATGTCTAAAGCGGTTGCAAAAGCATGTGAAATAAACTATAATAAAAATGCGTCTGCGTCTGGCTCTGCTCCATTGTGCTGCGGAGCAGCTGGATACTGAGCTCTGTGTCCGACCTCTCTGTCTATGTTGGACCTATTGGCAATGCCCGGCACGTGCCACTTAGATAACTTCTATTTAAGCAAATATAAATCTAAAGTGTGTTAAATTAGATTAAAATGTTCTCGTAAACTAAATGCTGCAGTCAGACAATGTATTCGACTCGTTGTCTTATATTGTGCTTTTCGTATTGCTTACAAATTTTACACAATGTCTTGCAGGTCTCCCTCGTCTTCTTTTTCTTCTTCTGCTTGCCATTCAGTTAATTAATGTCGAAAATTGGCAACTGAGCTGTTTACATACATGTGTATGTGTGCTAAGGGAATACATAAACTTGTTGAGTCGCCCCAAGCGGAGACCACAGCAAATTTAATTGCCAAAACTGTTTGTGCATACTCTGAATACTTATCGAAAATAGGAATAATGAGCAGGACAGGGTATAATGGACGTGAACGACTACTATCATCTACTAACATGTTTTTAACTTATTATTATTCTTTTTTTTTTTTTGTAATTTTTTTTTTTTTGTAATTTATTTATTTTATTTCCTTTATTTATCTTTTTTCCTCATTTTCCTTTTTTTCCTTTGTACATTAATATATTTTTATTTATTGTACATTAATATATTTTTATTTATTGGCTCGTATTTTATATATATTTTATATATTTTGTATATATTTTTATTACCTATCAATCTGGCCATTTTTGCCCCTTTTTACAGCCGGATCAGAAATTATTTAACTATAAGGCAGATTTGCCTAAACAATAAAATAATTGAACATGTAACGAAAGAAAACTATTATTAAAATCCAGAAGAGCAGAAGGGGATATAAAGAAAGGAAAAAAAAAATTGAAATTTGAAAAAAAGGGAAAACATAATACCCCTAACTAAATATAAATGGGAATACGGGTACGCCGTAGTCGAACAGAGGATCCATACTTGTTATACTCTGGAGAAACGCATCTAAAGTTATGCGCAGAGGTTGAGCAGCTCCAGCTACAACTGTTTTCCAGAGGTTTTTGATGCAGTATTTTATTTAAGAAAATGTGCTGAACTTCACTTCGTTAGCACTAAATATTTCTATAGTTAATTGAAAAGCCACTTGAGTGTTTTTTGCCAATTCATTATTGGCTAAATTCCAATTAAAGTAAAGCAAAGTTCAATAAGTGCCTGAATGTAAATCAGAGGTTTAAAAAATTTAATAAAAATAATTATATGTGCAATATTCACTTTTCACGTTTGTTTAAAGAGAACAAAAAAACTCTTGAAATTTGTATTCGACTTTTGGCCAAAATGCTCTTAGATACATCGCAGTTCAGACTCTCTGCGTCAACACTTTAATTTTCCTAATCAACATTAAGTTTCACTTGACAGCCACATGCTCATTCAACGAGTCGTCAAATTGACTTTAATTTAAGAATTTTTTATATGCCATTCACACACACACACACACACACACTCACACAAAGAGAAAGAGAGCGAGACCTACAAAAGGAATTGCTGCCTATGTGCGGCACTTGCTGCACGCGGTATTTCCCTGTCTGCTGCCTAATGGCATTCCATTGCTGTCTGTTCGACCTACTCTCCTACCTCGCCCACCCTCCCTCCCACTACAATGAGTCGTCCTTTTTACTGCATACTTTTAAGGGCTGCCGGAGCAGGAACGGCAGGAGCAGCAGCACAAAACGCTGATGCGACAATTATAGTTATTGTCTGCCTAACCAAGCGGGGAGATTTCCTGCTCCTGCTCGCTGTGGCGCCGTACGTGAGACAGCAGAAAACACCTAACAGCTGGTTGGGAAGGGGGAAGAAGGAGGCGTACTATGTGGCAAGTGGGCGTGACAGCCGTTGCAGTCAGCTTCAATTTTAGAAGCAGCTTGTTTCATTGCTAATGTTAACATGTATTGTTGTTGCTGTCGTATTGTACCCTGTCTGCGAACAGATGAGCATCGGGTGGCTTAGCTCGCACCTGCAAATTTGATGTTGCTTTGTGGAGGTAAAAAAAAATACAATAATAAATTATATGCAAAAAAAAAGTCGAAATGAAAAACTAGATTAAATTGAACTTAATAAGATACTTAATAAAATACTTAAAAAATAATAATAAAGATATTAATGTTAAATTATTTCACCAAAAATATGTATATATACATATATTATATAAATGCTTTGATAAAACTACTTATTCATATGTATATTAAAAATATTTACATTTATTCTTTAATAAAAAAAAATAACAATAATTTAATTTAAATATAACAAATCAATTAAAAAACAAAGAAAAATTATATTAAAATTTTGTTTGTTTTTCATATAAATTTTTAAGTCTATTTTTGTGCATTTGAGAATTGCATAGAGAGGCGATAGCTTAAAACCCCAGCTAAAACGAATATCTGATGTATAGTCTTTCACTACATCTACAGGGTATTTTTATAGTTGAAGGCATTGGCATACATGTATTTGTTAGCCTGTCAAATGTCTTTGACGCCAAATTGACACATCTTGTGTAGTCAGAGTCGTGGATCTGCTCGGCACTGCTTAAATAGTGTGCTAAAATGTGGTACGTGCGCCCATCCCTGCCAGCAGCGTTGAGGTCTTTCTTATCTGAGCATTGGCTTAACAGCCAGCCCCCTGCCTGCTGCCTTTGCCTGCTGCCATCTTTAATTTCAGTGGCAGGTCCTTGAGCTGGCGAAAAGTTTGTGTAGAAATTTATCACAGGCGCAAATCAATTTTCAACACCTTGCCGCAGGCGGTGTTGTGCGTGTGAACAGATTAGCCAAGTAGCTAGCAAAAAAAAATAAATAAATAAATAAATAAATAAAAGGAAGAACGCAGCGACTGAAAATCAAAGCCAACTTTTGCTGCCAGATGCCTGCCGGTGGCAAATGAGGTATATTTGACGCTGTGGCAAAGATAACCCTTGCTGCAGCAGCATTGGCTTTCATTGGCCGTATTTTATGCCTATTTTATGCGCATCAGGACAAAATTGCGTACGTGTTGTAATTTTTAAAACATTTCTCTTGTACTATTTCTCGGGCTCTGTTGACATTTGATGTTCGCACGAACGGACTCGACTTAATCTGGCGCCAAAAAAAAACAAAATATAAAAAAAAAAATAAAGCAGAAGAAGAAAAACTTGCCAAATTTAGGTCAAGCGGTCAAGTGTTCTATGTTGTTGTTGCTGGCCTCTTACGAGGGTTTTATGTTGTTTGCCTGCAGTGGCCCGCAGTTTTGTTTTATGACCATAACTGGGCGGTTAAGGCATGTGCGGAGAGGGTAGGGGCCTTGTTACTCTACGTAGTCTGTCTTTTTTGGGGGTTGTAGCAGCTGTGTTTGTCCAAGAGCTAAAGGATTCGTGTGTCAATATTTGAAAACTTTTCGCAAGATGAATTTACTTAACATTTCACAAGTATTGCTTACAGAAATCCATGTGAGAGGTTTTTCTTTTTTTATTTATTTATTTATAAATATTTTTTATTTGTATGTACTTATTATTTTAAAGGCAGTAGGACTAAATTTAATACTACACTGCGCTCTGTATGTCCCGTTTCTTTTTGCTTTTAGTGTATTAAGTTTCCAGTTAAAGTTCTTCCATTCTAAATATAAGCACACATTTCGAACCATTCACAAATCTTGTAATTTGTAACCTAATTCATGCCAGATTACTTGGCATTTACAAGTGGGCTATACGAAACGCCCCCAAAACCTGACAACTATATCCGCTGCAAGCCAAAAGAAAAGCAAATAAAAATACGACAAAAGTTTAAAAAGGAATCGTGGCCCTATGTAGGCTGGTTCTTGTTTGTGGGCGTGCTAAGCCCACCCCAGACATAAATTATTATCACACCAGCCGCTGACATTGACCCAAAAAAATATATATATATGTATACAAAAAATAAAAAAGGTTTGTCTGACAAATTTGTCGACTGCAGAAAATTCTTAAAAAGTAAAATGTGAAAAAGAATTTATGCATCGATTTCCAAGCGAATTTTCTGTGCCATGGCCCCGAGAGCAGAAGGCATAAATTATTTAAGGAATTGTAATTGCAATTCCAATTGCAATAGCAATTTGTGAGGCATTTCTATTGCATAAATAAACGGCCATCAGAGGTAAATTTAATTAACTTAGGATCAAACAAACAGCACGTGGCGTATGCGTAATGCGTGTGAAGTCGCCTGATTAAATTAGCTAACGCATCGGCTAATAAATCGATATATGTATATATATTTGCCTTAATTGCCACTGCCAATCAAAGTGGTTGCCAAAATTTTACGTTAAAATGCACTTAAATTGCAAGGAGCCGGACGAAAACATTTGATTCTGGCAAATTTTGCAATTTGTGGCCGATTGGCAGACAAGCTGGCAGGCTGGCAGGCTGGCTGGCTGGCTGGCAGGCAGACTTGTCTGGCCTCGCTCCGGTCACGGCTACAAAATTGTTGCCCAAATCTGATTAAGGCTGCACAGTTTGGCTAAGCGATTTATGAATACCAATGACTGCGTGCCTGAGTGCAAGGATTACGTATGTCTCCCCTCTGTCTGTCCCTTCCGTCCGTTTGTGTGTTGCATAAACTGCTTGCCCGCAGGCCAAAACTGCGTTGACTAATGCAGGCTGAGCTACGACAATGGCAAAGGGCAGACAAAACATTCAGCAGGTGAATAGAACCGGATAAAGAGCTGTGATAAGGCCAACGTTTAGGCCCCGCTTATCTCAAATTCTTCACACCAGCAACACACAACTGAACCATTATAATAGCTGTCATATTGCTTAGTGCTGAGAGTTAAGCTATTAGTGTACAAAACTCTAGCTATTGTTGGGATTACAAGAGCTTAGTTTGTTATTATAAAAGTATGAATAACAGGTTACTTTTTGCTGAACTGCAACACAAATCTTTGCATATTTCGTTTGATATTTTACCAAAATCTGAAATATAAATATGCATTGCAGGTTATTTGTTTACCGCTAAATCGAAAAAA